TTTCGTTTTACACGCCGCCAAGGAAATCCAGGCTGTGCGACAGGACATGTGGTCAGGGTTCTCCCCGGTCGCATAGCGACGCACATAGTGCACCGTCCCCAAAGACAGATGTCACATACCCCACCGCGAACGGCCAGAGAGTATGTGACAAGAAGAGCGCTCACATCTCATCAACGTGGTAACTGGTCTGTACTATTGTGGCAGTCAACTGTACATCTATCACCTTAGAAAAAGAGGCGAGACCTATGACTGCCAAAGTAAGTGTTATCAGCCATCGATCACACAGCGACATTGCGATACCATAAGTGAGTAATGAAAGCCTGCCCGCAGCGTCGGCTCTAAGTCCTCACCTATTGGCGCAGCAGAGAGAAATGTAGCAGTGACCCAACATCTCAAAGTCATGCATCCTCCTTCTCCCCCTTTGGGAGCAGCCGAAAGCCCAAGTTTGCCAAAGCGCGGCGTTGAGCACTCGGAAGAGCCTCCAGGCCACGCGAATGAAAAGCTACCAAAATGGTCCTGTCGCCATGAGGCCACGGAAATGTAGCATGCGGAGTCGTCGGGTTCAGAAGCACATACGGACGCTCAATCGTCCGCAGTATGCCGGGCCCCGAAGTAGAGTCCAGATAGACTGAGCCATGGGGGCTAGCTATCCAAAGCTGCCCCCCCCGCCAAAAATCACAGGGTATGATGAGGTTTTGGGTGTTCGGAGCATTCCGGGTGTCAGCGTGCCTGTAATGCATCACATTGTGAAGCAATGTACAAGTACTGAATCTATGTTGGGGCGCAACTGCAAGGATCATGGCGGTCATCCAGCACGACGTCCAAGGGAAATTATAAGTGTGAATTTGTATCCCAAGACATCCTCCCACCGAATAGGCTCCAACTGAGAAGCAGCGCTGAAGTCGACCAGTGTCACCGTCGGATGTGTTGAGTTTGCGGCGCTTGGCCGTGGTTTGGACAGGCAACAAATGGCATAGGTGTCTCAAATCCTCAGTGGTGCACCTGCGTTGGGAACACACGGAAAAAGCTAGAAGCTCCATGCTCGATGCGTCCGGCTCTGGCTCGGGCGGCAGGACGATGCCGTCTAAGCGCAGCTCGTATGTATGGAAACCCAGCGTCGGCCTGTCCATATTCCACACCTCACTCCAGACTCCTGATGTCGGATCAGTCGGCGCATACACCTGAGTGGCCAGCAGGTCCTGAGTTGCAGAAGCTTCGGCATCCGCGTCGATAACGAACGAGGAGATGACATCAGAAGAAGCCTTGGGTGACGGGATCGACGTAGAGGTCGGCTCTATCCCATGTGGAGACTCCAGTTGACCTGAGGACGCAGGCTGTGGCGAGTCCCGCTGCCCTGATCCGTCCCGTAGCGAGCTGGAATCTTCGACCTCGACTTCAGGTATCGAGAAGTCCTCCCAGCCGGCATCCGAAGCTGCGTCGTCCGCTGAGAAACGAGGATGAGCTAAACCCAGAATGGAGGGGAGCTCCAACTCCCACAGTTCCTGAGACACGTGCGGTGGCCTTTGTGGAAACATCACTTTACTTCCTTTTTTTTTTTTTTT